TTAGACACACAGGTGTTGATGGGACTACTGCAGTCTGTTCCCTCCCATCCAGCTTCGCAAACACAAATGTAGCCTCCGCCGTTGAAGTTTTCAAAACACGTCCCATTATTCTGGCAAGGCTGGCTTTGGCAAATTAGTGTTTCTGTGTCCAAAAAAATTAATGGAAAATCAATACGGGTCCGAAGATATTGCGATAGCATTGCTGTACACATAGCGCATTTCAATGCGGGAGGGTGTGCATGATATATTTCCAATTGACCATACAGAAATGCTCAACAATGGCAGATCAAGAAAATTTAATTGAGGCATATCTCCAAATCACCAAAGTAGGAAAATAGAGATGGAAAGAAATCTAGCCAACAATGTCCTCCTTAAATTCATTTAAGTTACAAAATAATGCCTCTTAACATTTTTCTTTAAAAGGGGCTACTTTGCTCATTTTTTTAGGGGAATGCTATAGGCAATATTCGCCTTTGCTTATTGAATATCAACACAGGGGTTTTGATAAAGGTCAGGCGTTGAGGCTAGGTTTTTGCCAAGGTGCAGTGATGTGTCCTGGCCATCACCTGGTGGTGAGGATTTCTTGTATTCAGAAAATGTGGATCGAACTGCAGGCAGTTTGGTCTGTCCACCTCAACTTAGGGTCACCAAAGTGACCACTGTGCAATGAAAATGGTCCCGAAAACAACGGTAATATGCAGCTTTTGCTGCAGGTCACACTGCACTGGTTGGTGAGATACGAGGACAATGTGGCATTGTAGAGGTAGCAATATGATCAACCCATGGCTGTAAGAATGCTAGATCCTTAAGCTTAACCCTAACCCTGCCAGCGTACAGTGCATCAGGTAAACAAGTCCGATGTACTTTGATGCACTTGGCAATCAACAGCAGCCAAACAAACTAGCCATGGTAAGCTAATGGGAGCATGTTGGATCTTGTGGTGACCGGCAACCACTGACTCCAAGGCTGTTTGGCCTAGGGAGATTTGACGTGTTGGATCTTGTGGTGACCTGCAACCACTGACTCCAAGGCTGTTTGGCCTAGGGAGATTTGACATGTTGGATCTTGTGGTGACCGGCAACCACTGACTCCAAGGCTGTTTGGCCTAAGGAGATTTGACGTGTTGGATCTTGTTATACTGGGCAGGCAAACCACTTTAAAATGCAGTCTGATGCCTCCAGTAGGGTTTCTCAAGTACCCTGCAGGATTATAGGGTTAATCGGAGAAGCTGGTGACCACTACGGCTCTCCTACAGTTGACGTGTATTATCACTACTAGGAATATACCCAGGTCACAGTTGGTGCCCGTCCATCCTGATGGGCACTGACACACATAAGCGTTGGTCTCAAATCCTTCATAGCATGACCCTCCATTCAGGCACGGTTGGCTCTCGCATGGGAATGCCACTAACGCAAAAGGGGAAAGAAGGGTTAGAGGTGATTTTTTGTTGGTTTGTACTGCATCCTTTGTAATCAAGATGAATTTTGCCCAACGACCACAAAGGACAAATGATGGATATGTGCTGATTACTGGTAATAGTGTTGTATCAAGTCCTTTCATGATATCAAACACAAGTAAACTGGGTGAACAATGCAGAGGAATAGTTTTGTCAGGGTTCTTGTAAACAGTTGAGACTTGACTGCAGACTAAACAACTTGTGATGGATTTGCAGTAGATTTGACAACTTTGAAAAAGACTACACAAAAGTTGTGAACCAAGATAAAAACACCGATATTTTCACTGTTTTCAGTTCTATCGAACAATGTGTTTGTGTGCATTAGAATTAAACTAAACTATCAAACAATATATACAACAAAAAAACACATTTGAAAATATTTTCCCCCATTCATTTCAAATTTGCAAAAGCTTTCACTCAAAATAAGTAGCATCTCCATTTTCAGATGTTACATTATTGCCCTTACAAAAATGACACGACATTTTGTAAAATCTGAAGAAGACAAGAAACAGATGAACTGTGACCTTTGACCACACTTTTCTGCTCCACTTGTGATAAAGGCTCAATGCAAGCATACTGATGTTGGTTTATTAACAATTAGCGCTTTTTATATCCAGTGCTTATCAATGAAGTCTCAAATGGCTAGGCAGCATTTACTCCTGCTCACCAGGTCATGAGATCAGTTTTTGCAGCTGCTTAAGGACCAGCTCTATTTGATCTTCACCTTCCCAGGTATCATTTTATACTCCTGGGTGGAGACGGGCAAAGGACCAATGCACTCTGGCGGGATCAAGGTTGTTTATTTTACCTTGCTCACAGTTTGTCCCCGTCCAGCCCGGTAAGCAGACACAACGATAGGAAAGCCGGTCAATCGAGTCAAAGCACTGGCCTCCGTTTAGGCATGGCACACTCACACAGGCTGGAATGACTGCCAACAAAATGAAAAATAGATCTCTCAAAATGATTGCTTTAAGTTAATCATGGCAACATAATCATGTTTGAAAAGAGGTTTCAGTGTGTCAACATACCGGTACTATGGGCCAGAAGTGCAAGCAAGTCATATTTCCATGAGGCAAAGCAAATTTGACTTGTTTGCCTATTATTCATTGTTTTATAATATCTCTATCATCATGAAAACAGATAGTTTTGCTTTTGCATACAGAAAGTCAAGGACACACTTTTTCCTGCATTCCAACTGAAGTTGGTAATATTTAATATTAACTAGTCAAATTTGTCAAACGTCATTTTATTTGCATGTTAAAGTCTCCAATCCTAAAACATAATGACTCTAGTCTGAGATTCAACTCTGCCATTAAAGCAGTGGCTTCATGCTTATGCTTTCTTGAACTTCATGTGGGCGTGCATTTGGCCAATTACAATATCTCATTGGTTGAAAAAGGCATGTAACTCATGAAAAACACTAGCATGCGAGCTTGCTGCCACAGCAGTAATTCTGGCCAATGGTTTAACTTGCACACAGCAGTACAGGGTACTAGGACATTCCAGTTTCACAACTAACAGACAAGGTACAGGTTTGCATTTTGAAAGAGCCCTAGGCAGTGTTACATTCAAGTCCATCACAAGTCCACCACAAGTCATTCAGTTTGAAGCCAATTCACAAGCTATTCAAATGAGCTGAAACAAAAACCATTCTTTTGTCATTGTTCACCCTGTTACTTATGATTGGCCTCGTGAAGGGGCTTGTGACTGGACTTTGGAAGAGACTCGTGAAAGGACTTGTGATGGAATCGAATACAACACTGGCCCTAGGTCAATTACTGGTCCTTGAGCCCGCATGCTTATTGGCGGAGTGGGCGGCTTACCGAATTCGCAGTTTGTACCCATGAATCCCGATGTGCAATTGCAGATGTAGGACATCTGCAGGTTGGTGCACTGCGCCCCGTTCTGGCAGGGATTGGGGTTGCACATGTTGGTCGGGAGGGCGCACGTTGGGCCTTCCCAACCGTTGACACAGGCACAGGTGAACGAGGTACCTTGGGGGGAGCAGGTGCCGCCGTTCATGCATGGATTGTTGTCGCAAGCACGAATCTCTATTTAAGCAAACAGGCATTTATCAATTTTTTGCATGCATGGCTTAAGAGACACGTCCAAGACATGCAGTGATAAAGAAAATTTCAATGGCTACATGCATTGTTTGGCATGGAAAAGGATTTATCGACTATGAACAAAGGGCGAGGATTCCCCTCGTTTTCTCTGAATGATGTAATCTACATTCAGAATTCGCATCTTGGCATGAACAGAAAAAAGCCCTTTTAAGCTTGTTTTAGTTGAACTCTGAAGACAAATGACGCTGCGTTCGATTTCGATGCTTCCATGTTTATTTGAACAGATAAAATCAGAGAAAAGATGTTTTCCTTTGAGGTACTCCTAAAAGCTGACTGTGTGTTAGCCAGTCTTACAGACTGTCAGTTGCTTTGGACTAATTTAGTGAATCAGTACAACGTTAATCCAGTCTTTAAATGGTTGACCTATCTGGAGATGGTTTAAAATCAGCCAAGTTTGGGATTTTCTTTTTATTCTTTGGCATGCATAGGTTTTCCCTGCTATTTAAAAAAATTTCACCGATCACAGAACAGTTAAACAAATGGATAGAATATTATCACCAGCGAGATGTTTGCATTCTACCGAGTTGCAGAGAGGTTTGAAATTGGTGAATTGGAATGAAAATCATGTTAAATAGCCGGGAAAACCTATATTTATTGTTGCTGAAGTGGACTGCTTTTCAATGATTTCCAAATCTGAACACAAAAATGGTTAAATAGATGTACACACTGCCTTTTTTCTGGGAAGAAAGTTCTGATCTATTTTACCGAGTTCACAGTTGAGTCCGGTGAAACCTGTGGCACAGGAACAGGAGTAAAAAGTCTGAGAGTTGTTGCATGACGCTCCATTCAAGCAAGGGTCAGACGCGCAGGCGTTAATGGGCTCGTCACAGAATTTCCCTTGCCAGCCGGGGGTGCAACGGCAGAAGTAGCCCTGGGGGTTCAACGACTGTTGGTAGCATGTAGCGCCATTCTGACAGGGCTGCTGAGAGCATGCGGTGATTGCTAACAGATGAAGAATGGATCAAGAACCTTCATTAGGCGTGGTACAAGGGCAATTCAAAGCAACAAACTGGAGGTCAGGGGCAGTATTCATGGAATTTAACAAGAGTTTCCTTTGGTGTCTTCTGCAGGAAACTTTTATGACAGCTGATGAGATTCAGCATCAAAACTGTTGTGACATCAAATGAGATTCAGTGTCAAAAATTTTATGACAGGTGAGATCCAGCGTCAAAACTTTAATGACATCAGATGTGATTCAGCGTCAAATGTTTTATGACATCAGATGAGATTCAGCGTCAAATGTTTTATGACATCAGATGAGATTCAGCGTCAAACTTTTATGACATGAGCATGTGCATTCAAGTGAAGTGTAATATCACGCTGCAGCTAGTCCAGTCTGGTACCTGCTGAACAGATACTGCCATAGTGCTGTCATCTGCGTAGAAAGGTACAGGAGCAGACTAATTTGCTTTCCAAAGAAAACAGAGAAACGTACAGCTTAGCAAAAGGTGAAGTATGCTTAACGGTTTTTCACAGCAAAGAGCTATTAACATAACACACCTACTGCTTGGGCAAGTATATGATGTCCACTATTTTGTTGGCAAGACCTGGTCATGTGACCAAGAACAGTGAAACTAAGTTTTACAAAATGCTTTGATGAATGGATTCTACAAATACCAATCACGGAATCTCAGTTACAAATGTACAAAGACTATGGTTTACTGCTCGAGTGCAAACAGAAAAATTATCAGTGACTCCTTTTTCTCCCAACTACAGATTTCTTTCAGTTACCTCACACAGACATGTAAAACCTTTATAAACTGAGTTTCAAAGAAAATACAAACAAACCTCCAAAAGCTGAGGATGGAAGAATTGAAGGTAAAATAAGCAGTGCAAGGATTTTACATTTCTATTAACTACAACATAAACATCAGAATTGAAAATTGCAGCAAACATTTGAAAGCAAGCTTGATGAAACTTTCACTGAACCGAAGCACAAGGAAAAGTTTGAACTGAAATACAAGCACCTTTGAAACAGCAAAGACAGCGACAAATTGAAGATTTGTCAGTTTATGAGTATCCGTAGCTACCTGCACACAAAAGTAATGCTGAATAGGAAAACGTAAGATTGTGCTTTAACAATTTAGAGCAGTGGCGATCTAATCAAGGACACCAAGAGAAGGCACTTTGAGTGTGCATAAACAACTTCCCAATGCACCATCCCCCAATGCAAACACCACACAGCATTACTAAGACGATACTTGCAGAGTGTGTGAAATAAATGGTGATTTTGCAGCAGCATACTGAAGTATCCTGATCCCCAATGGGGATTCGGTCATTTGATCTGGTCACGGTCATGAAGTCAAAGTACTGTCATCCTTCTAGCCTCATAAGGGGTCCATTACATGTATCTTTAAACATTTCCAATCAGTTTGGCCTCCTGACGGCAACGGACATGCATCGCAAGTGTTATCACAGGGTCCGCTACTGATTTGCATTTCCAAATTTGTTTAAAGGCGTTTGAAGACCCGTTTTTAGTTGGCAGTGGAAATGAGAAATTGATGCACAACTATCCTACAAGCAGTTTCTACAGGTAGTTGTCACTGAAGCCAGACAATGCCGACCTCGCTACAGGTTTGAATGGACACCGACATAAAAGTTCACCTAACTTTCCATGCTTGGGCCATTACCTGTGTGACTCTCACACCTGACAATTGAATTCTGCACCTTTTACGTGAAGTTTGCCTGCGGCAGTGCAGTGTTCAGCATCCCATGCTCAAACTCAACAGCAAACCAGCCATAACGCAAAGGTGGCTGAGGCAGCGTGTGACTCAAAGGTTGAGATATAAACCCAGTACTGGACCAAAAGAAAGCACAACTTTTCTAAGCAATGGAGGCTCCTTTGGTGGGAACTGAACTTCGTTGGTTCACAAATGACAATGAAATGCAAATGTTACAGTCGCGTCGCTACCAATACATGAACACCCCCCCTAAGACATGGCTCTTTCCAACCAATGAGGGGGTGCTTTGCTCATGCCAGATACACAAGTTAAGTTTATATCTCCAGTTTAATGCTCACAAGTGTGCAGTAGTAGCTAAATAATCAACATATTGAGTGCAAAGCATTGCGGCTATTTCTATTCAAAGCATAAGCTGTAGACAAGATGATCTACCAAGCTTATTACCTTAGCGTTAATCTTGGAGAAACTGCTCATGTATACCACACCAAAGGAGAAGAAAATAGAATTAAGCATTCAATGGACAGAACAAAAAGTATCATTGATGTCTCTACTGAACATTCTTCAGGTTAGCTTTTAATGAGCAGATAGAAAGTATTTCAAATCAAAGTAAAATGGGACACATTACTGCAGATTGTGAAACAAATTCAAATCTAGCATTTGGCAATGCTGTTTTTTGAGGTCTGAAGGCTGACGTAAGATTTTGCCGGGAATGTACCACTTATGGAAAAATCTGCCAAAGAAGCAATTCATCCATGAATAAGCCTTGGGATAACTTTGGGCAATGAAATCAGCATCTCAACCTGTAAAATCTGTGTTACATCACTTACATGTATGAACCATGCTCATTTTTCCTACAACTTGCTGTATATGGACAGCAAAGTTTGCAGATCACTTTGGGTTGGTTTTCGATTTTATCTCCTATTTGCTTAAAATCAACATTTGTCACATTACTGCTAAATAGAGTTGTATATTCAATTAGTGTTTAGAAGTACGTGAATTATTATCTAGTGTTCTGATAGCTGCATGGGATTATTACCACTTATTGAATTGTTCTTTCACTTTTGTACTGATGGCAAACTCTAGATTTTAGCGGCCACTTGTAGGAAAACCCGACTGTGATGTCAAAAGAGCAGACACTATGTTGATCTGCTATTGCCTAGTACAGGCTCCACTCGGGAACAAATCAGAAGAGGATTTTTATGACACCTAACAAAACATCAGTCTAACATTTTGCCAGTTGAGAAAAGTTATGACTCATTTATTAAATGCATATATACAACGAAAGGCAGGCAGGCTGTCACCAGTCCTTCCTTCATTGCCATTCCATAGTAATTACGGAGGCCGGTACTAGGCAGTCAGACCAGCCTTTTCTGCTGTTCATTGATGGAGGGAAAACTACCTCGAAGGAGATATATAGGCTATTAACAAAACTGCCGATGAATCCCAACTATTTTCTATGACAGTGAATGGTTAAAAGTCTACAGCAACAACCACAAACCACGGTTAGACAAGCAGATCGTAACGACGAAGTCAGAAAGAAATTTAACACATTCCCAAAGCATACCGTTACAGAGGACAACAGTTTTGTCATTCGATTCCATTATGACAGAAAAACACACACCCCTTGCATACGGCACCTCACGCCAATCTACAAGTACTTGTAAACCTACTGGCACAGATTGTATGGGGCAATTCCATATAAAAGTGGAAATTTGGCAATACTTTTATGACCTCATTATCAATCATAATTCATAAAGGACAACTGCTCAACTTATTATTTTCACAGTACTTTTTCCTTTTTTTCAAAAAGCCTCTGATAATAAGGTCGGTAAAAGTGAGGCCAAATTTCTACTTTTTACATGGAATTGCACTGAAGGAATGACTTCCTGCTATGATAAAGGAGGTTAGTGAGCACAGCATCGGATGGCGATGAAACATAACCTGAAATTCACTCATATTTTCAGGCTGGAGAGGAGGCTACATGAAAGTTTTCTAAAAATTCTACCCATCTGCCACTTACACAGCTCACAATAGAAGCCGGTGAAGGCATTTGTGCACCGACAGATAAAGGAATCTGGTTGGTTACCACTGATGCAGGTACCACCATTCTGACATGGATTTGCAGTGCATGTCACAGCTACATTGTGACAAAAATAAACAGATTACTTTAGTTTGAATTGAAATTAGATATTACAAGGGGTATTAAGACCAAAGCGGATGTCAAGCAAATCACAAGTCCAAACATGTGGTCGAAGTCCAAGTAGACTAATGACTGACAGGACAGGAAGAATGACGATTTCTTTGCAGCTCATTTGAATAATCAGTGATTGTATTCAGACTGGGAGACTATGAGAGGGACTTAAATACAAGGCCAGGCAAAACAGGGTATGTTGTCAACTAGGAGAGAGTTCACACACAAAATAAAAACTTGGCTTGATTGACTTTGCAATGAAAAATGCCGTATTAGCCAGCCTGCCTCTGGTGGGCTGTGATTCAAAAGCAGATTGGACCCATTAAAAGTTGCATTATTTGGCTTATTTAACATTAGGATTATGAGTCATTGTAAGGGCTTGATCTCACAACAAATGATACAGATCTGTATTGAAAACAATAGGCAGTGCGGGATGCTCAGATTTCAAATGCCTTTTCATGAAGAGAGAGAACTGGTAGACAGTTGATGACAGGGCTGCTTTTTTTGCAACAATGAAATTTGCATTTGCAATTGCCTTTGCATTCAGATGACCTCTGTTTTATCAATATTGGTGCTACTGATAACGGTAGTGAGATGTCAAAATGGGAGTTCAATCCCACTTGATGATTTCCTGTTGAAATTCTGAGAATTAAATGCAGGGTTCAGTGAAAAATGTGGACACTTTCTTGTTGTGATGTGTTTACTCAATTTAGGGGGCACAGATGGATCAGGAATAAGAAGAAAAAATTTACCTATGGTGCACTGGGCACCAGTGTGCGTTGGAGGGCACTGGCAGGCGTAAGCTTCGGGTGTGTTACCAGGGAAACAGACTCCACCGTTCAAGCAAGGGTCACTGTTGCATCCCACGCCAGCGGCTGCGAAAGGAATTGGCAGTGGTATTGAGTTGGTCTGTGGAAAATGTGCCATTTGGAGGTCACAAACTTGTCTTTGAGGATTTCATGCAACAAGCTCTTTCACAAATCCAGTCACATGTCCACCCATCAACGACAGGGCAACCAATGATGGAGAGACGCTTTTGCCATCATTCAATTCGGCTTGAGACTAGACGACCCACACTTGTAATGAATATGTGATAGAAGTTTTAGGGGCTTGCCGGGACCGGCAATGGCACTACTGACAACAATGCTGGGCACTATGCATCTCTCAGGTCTGAACAAGACAAGTTTGTCAGACTGGGCCCAGGAGTGTGACAGCAAGCCACGTTCAGCTGGAAAGCTTCATTTGGCCGGTCCTGGCTGGATTGTTACACTTGGATGGTCCATGGCTGTTAATTCTAAACCAGATTGTGTATTGCAGTGAAAGTGGCCATGCATTAAACACCACAAACACCCTGTCTACAGAAATCAAAATGACCTAATGTCGCTGAAATTTGGAGACTATCAAAATGAAGAATTTTTTCTTGGGTAGATTATTCGAGATCGGCTCCAAGGATTCCATGATTCTGGCAGGCCATATTTAGAAATGGCAACACAGTTTAAGCCTCAGTTACTGAAAATGCTATACCTAGTACCCTCTCTCCCCAACATTACTTTTATAGAAGATTCTGTCAAGAGATCCATAAGCAACCCTAACACCCATGATGTTTGTACATCCTACCCAGACATTTTTCTTCAGGTGGATTGTGGACAAACAATAACAATTGTACATGGAACTGTCTACTCACCTCGCTCACAGTTAGGGCCGATGAAACCAGACGGACATTGGCAGGAGTACTGGCTCAATACGTTGCCTTGGAAACACAGGCCGCCATTCTGACAGGGCTCAACGGAGCATCCAAGGGCTATTCATTGAAGAGCAGACCCACAAAAAATTTAACAGAAATTATGAGTCCTGCTCTGACTAAATAAAGCCAAAAGCATCCAATTCAAATTGCATATTCACGTGAATTTCAACCAAATAATGACTCAAAGTGAGGTCAATCAGTTTGTCTTAACTATTTGCTTTTCCACCTGACAGTTAAAAAAAAACCTTGCTTGACTTTGAGCTGAAAAATGGCCACAAACTAAACCTAGCAGGATTTTTTTAATGGCTGACAGCATTTTATCATTCTGAGTATCCCAATATGACTATATTTTTCTTTCTTGTAAAAAGTATTTTATGTAGAACATTTCCATTTATCTTCAATTTTGTCACGTTATGGTTGTCAATTATAAATTCATACTGAGATTTTTCCATTTTTCCAATGTAGCATATTTTTCAACTGCGCTCTCGGCGATATGACTTGATGTGAAATTGTCTTCATTCTAAATGTTCCTAAAAATGAATTGCTGAATCTTATCAATGACATGTACAAGTCAATTACCTCTGTATTCACAGTGGGTCCCGGAATACACTTGGGTGCATGTACAAGTGTATGCTGCAGTTGTTGAGTTAGCGTTGCATGTACCTCCGTTCATACATGGATTTATATTGCAAGGGACCGAAGAGGTCACTAACAGAGAAGAAAACAGAGGCTATTACATTTGGAAACCAAATACATGTACCCCCAAAATCAGGCTGAGCCTCTCTCCCCTATGTTCAATTTCACACTTTTAAAAGTGATTTTGTCTGGAGAAACACATGTAATTATGGGCAGTAGTATTCTGGAATTTGCAATGTTCGTGCCTAGATTGTTTTTTTTTTCAAAATGAGAGCTTAACATTCAGCCTGGTTTTGGAATGGTGGGGTTAAATTTTCGGTCTGCGCCTCATCTCCCATGGTCTCGGCTATGGCTTCAGATTTTGCCACTGCAAAGCTATGATGAGCAGCCACAACTGTGGGTAATGGTATCCATTTTGCACGCAGCTCAGACATCATGAGTTCAGCTTTTCACAACTGGCCACAATGTTTTTGCATGTCTGGAGTAGTTTTGTGAAAATTGAAGCCTCACTAGAATCAGCCTCAGTCTCAAATGCTCATTACCACGCCACAGCAACCACAACCA